AGGTGAAATAAAGAGTTACATACATTAACACAATCTATCAGCAGGTTGAAAGTAAAGATGTGCTTGAACAAAATGCAGATGAACTACACATAATTCTATGGAAACCAGACAATGTCCACAGATTTAGGACGCTGTTGAAAAGAAGAATATATTCAGTGTTGAAATCCAGTCCAGAAACTGCAAAGAAGAAAGTAGTTATTTCCACAGATTAGCCATCTAGCATGATGGAAATTCATGAGATTAAAAGTCTACCAGATGTTGTAGCTGGGCAACTCTTGATACAGTAGGGATGTGTTCCTTTGAAAATGACATTCAGGAGATAAGTGGCCTCCAGAAAAGGTAACGGATCAGCCACTTTACTTGGCAGAAACAACATCTACTGCAAAGGAGATCTAAGAGATAAATGGTCCTCCTGTTGCGACACAGTGTATGACAATGCATGGTCAAGATCAGAATCAAGGTCAACAGTGCTCAAGCCCAAGACCTCCCAATCTTCCAAGTCAAAAAAGAATGCATTTTGGAAACATTGGAATACCTCCAGGCTACTAGTTACGCTGGCTAGTTAGACTTTGTTACTACGTCTATTCGAAATCATAAATAATACATCTGTCCCTTTCAAGCTATTCTCCCAATTACCCCATCCATCCAATATTAAATCATTGTAATATTACAGACCTGGTAGGAGATGGAATTATGGTAAATATTGTTTTATAAATGAATACATATATGTTAACAATGGGAAAAAATGTTTAGGGGATATGTTGAATAGGGTAAGCGGTTTGAAAACATTAAAATGTTGGAGAATGCATTAAGATCCACCCAATTTATGACAATTTAATATAGGATGGATGGGGAAATTGGGAGAATAGCTTGAAGGGGACAGATGTATTATTTATGATTTTGAATAGACGTAGTAACAAAGTCTAACTAGCCAGCATAACTAGTAATTAATTTCTATTATACAATATCTGCATCCTGTTAAGATAAGAACCTTTTCTTAAGACTCTCTCATGTTTGTTCCTCTACCACTATAAATTAAATAGGCCTTAGACACAAAAAAAGGAACAGGAATGGTGGCAACATCCTTGTTCCCACAAAGACTAAATAACATATCTCATGAACCATGCCATAAGCCAAATTTGCTACAACCCATCACTCATAGATACATATCTAGCTTGCATGCATAACACCTCATCTCATACAGCAATGCTAATTGTAAGCCACTCACCCACATCTCACAGTTTGTATACAGTGCCAGCTATTCAACATCATCTTATGACAGTATTGCAGAACATTCAAAGAAATTCAGGCCATTCACTGACACACTTTGCTCACTCTTGCAGAACGAAGTGGCACAGAACTGGAGAATTGGAAGCTAACTGCAACATATGCCAGCAAATTCTGATCCTTCTCATCTGTTTAGTCTTAAGATCTAATCAGCAATCATAACTGTACCATGAATCCTGGCTTCACATTGAAGCAACATACCACCAAGATCCTAACAGTATACTTGAGGTTGGATTTCAGATCAGCTGTGAAGTTCTGCTTCACATTTATATACACACACGTATGCACGTACAGCAGATTACAATACATAGAATACCTTGCATAAGCCTGAAGATGAGGTTAAACTTACTTTCAGTCTTTCCTTTACTCAATCAGTTATGGTATAGTAGATCAAAATACACTGTTTTGTTAATAATGTGACAAAGTTTATCATTTAGATCTTTTGGCATACAACATCAAACAATGTGTCAGCAACGGTTCATTGGTGCAGGTGCTAAAGTCTGAGTTCAAGTTCCACTCCAGAGTTTGAACACAAAAATCAAAGTGAACTTCTAGTGCCATACTGATAGAGTGCTGCACTCTATCAGAGGTATTGCCTTTCAGATGTGGTGTTAAACTAAGGTCTCATTGCTTCCTAAGGCAGACAAAAAAGATCCAATGGTGCGATATCAATGAAGAGTTGAGTTATTATCCATGGAGTCTTTGCCAGTGTTTATCCCACAATCAAAATCACAAAAACTGATTATCTGGTCATTGTCACGTTGCTTTTTGTGGGGGCTTGACTGTCAGATTACCTACATTACAGCAGTGACTACAAAAGTACTTCACTGGCTGTAAGGTAGTGACAGAAATTTGATTGATGTGAAAACAACTAGCATTTATGTATTGATGTTATACACTTCAGAACTTTAATAACTGTTCGTGGATTGAAAACAAAGATAAACTGTTAAATATGAAAGAATCAGCGATACCTCTGTCTGCAATAAACTATGAAGCATTAAAGACAAAAGTATGCAGGAATTACAGGCAATTAGCCACATCTGGGAGAAAAAGCAGTCGAAGCTACATGAACAAGAATGTTTTGACATCTGCTTGATAACTGGTTGCCTTATGCCACTGATTGCCTGCAGAAGAATTTAAGGAGTTAGTCACACTAAAACTGTATCTTCAAATAGACAGTCATTGCCAAATGTAACAAGGAACAGGGAAACTGTTTGTACTTCTGATAAGAAGAAGTCAAGCTGCAGACTTCATGGTTTCAGAGGAATAGTCAATAACATTCATGAAAGAATCTAAAGCATGATCAATGATATTACATTGCAGGCTTGAAGGACAACAAAACTGTATAAGAATCTAACACCAGAACTCTTCATTAGTAGAACTACAAAGAAGAACGTTGCACAAGGATTGAATTCTGGACACTTCCAGAGGCAGACACTCTTAGTTTAAATTGTAGCTAAATTCCACCATTAATCGGATAATAGCCAAGTTGAGTTGTGAGGTTAACTTGCTTACTTGAAGGGTCTTAATTTGGTTTCTACATGCAATAAAGTTTAAATCATTGTTTCAGTGCCGGATTGTCTGTGAGATTTCTAAATAAGTAGCGGAATTAAAGGTAACTGGTGTTGATTTACCTACAATAATAGCACCTTCAACATATTAAAAATCCCAGGATACTTTGAAGGAGCATTTAAAAAAAAACACACACAGATACATAAAGAGAAATAAGATCATCTGAGGTTAAGAGGTGATTTTAAGGTGTGACTTAAAGGAGAAAAGTGAGATTGAGAGACAGAAAGGTGTAAGCACAGACTTTTAAAGATTGTGTCCTAGATAACTGAAGATATGGGCACCTATGGTGCAAGGCTAGATAACTGAACCCGTTTGAATTAAAAGACAGGCATTTGACACTTAATGACCCCAAATTTATTGGAGGCCAGAATGGGGGAGAAGAGCAAGGAGTGTACTGGAAAAGTCGGGTCTAAATATAATAAAAGCATGGATGAGGGTAACAGCTATAGATAAACTTAGAACAAAAACAAGGTTGCTGGAAAAGCTCAGCAGGTCTGGCAGCATCTGTGGAGGAGAAAACAGAGTTAATGTTTTGGGTCCGGTGACCCTTCCTCAGAAAAACTAAGGCAGGGTAAAGTCAGGCAGCCTTGTGGAAGTGACAATAGGTGGTATTAGAGGTGGAATGAACATGAAGTTGGATACTCCTCTTGGGATCAAGGTTATGAACAAACTGGCTTAATCTCAGAGTGTTACCAAGGAGAGGGATGGAGTCATTAGTTAGGTAATGTGAATGAAAAGCACAAAAGAAATGCAAGCCTGTTTTTTCTTAAACTAGAAACTTCAGTACCCCAAGATCTAAACACAAACTAAGAATCACTCTTCAGTTAGTCATTTTATTTCTGCGTTGAAACATCTTGTCAGTTTTGGTTAGGGATCAGCTGTTAGCACATAGACAAGAACTTCTAATATGATTCAATGTGCAATAATATTTATACAAGATAGTTAATACTTGCAATATTAAATATACTGCTATTTCAAAGAAGCCTAATCTATAAGTAATTACTGAAAGATCTAGGCTGTGAAATCTATAATGAGTCTGCAGATAATAAATGTGACTAAAAATGCTTCTCCTTCAGCAGATTTATTCAGAGAGCAGCCACTGTTCCGACTTGGACAGTTGTAGGAATGTTTTCCTGAGTTTGAACATAGTGAATATAGAACAAATCAAGAACATAGAACAAATTAGTCAGTTCTGAAAAAGGATCACTGGACTCAAAAGGTTAACTCTGCAAAGATGCTGCTGGACCTGCTGAGGTTTTCCAGCAATTTCTGTTTTTGCTTCTGATTCCTTGCATCCGCAGTTTTTTTTGTTTAGTATAGAACAAAACAACCTGTTTGGAGGAAAGACTATTAAAAAAAACCCTGCCTGTTTTCCTGTCTTTTTCTAGCATTGGTTGTTTTTGTTTACAGTTAGATGTATTTGATTATGTAATCAATGTGCAGCAGGGTCTCTGCTCTCTATTGCACATTTTGTATTGAAATGTGACAGGTTCCTTGTTGGAATGTGATCTTTTCCCTTGCCTAGTTGGTTGTTTCTCACCTGAGCCAGAAGATTGAGGCTTCAATCCCGCTTTAGAGCAATCTGGGCACACACCTCAATGTAAGACTGAGGGAGTGTTGCAAAGTGGGTGGTGCAGTGTTCTAAATCAGTGATTCTTCTCCCTCAGTTCGATGTCAAAAGATCTGAAGGCGGAGGAAGGGAGTTCTCCCCAGTGTCCTGACTCATACTTATGTCGAAATCAACGTGACTGAAACTGATTACCTGGTCAATATCACTCTGCTGTGTGCTAACTGCCTGCTGCGCTTTCTGCAGCACAAGATTGACTCCAGTTCCGAAGTACTCCATTCAATGTAAAAGGGTGTCCTGAGACCATGAAAGATGCTATATAAAGAAAGTATTTCTTTCTGAAGTGTGGAACAATTACCATGGCAGCAAGCTTTCACTTTGATCGCCTCTGCTCCACCAATTGTTTTACAATTACTGCCAGTTAATCAGATATCGTTGAGCCATTCTTTAAAAAAAGGGGAGCGGCTTCTCGAACTAGTATTTCTGGAACAGATTAAGCGAGGGCCATGCAGGTATGATATTTTAAAACGCTTGTAGCGCCGAGTGATACAGTCAAAGAAAAAGCATTACTCACCCAATGAGAAAATCAACGAAAATACAAGCAAAGTTCCAATCTTCAAATATGTCTCTTTAAAACAGGACTGTTCCATTTCACTCAGACAGCAGTTTGACTAAAAGACAGCTGTAGACGAGGTTTATCTGCGTAGAGGTAGCTAGGAGAAAGACAAACCGCAGTGTTCAGCAAATTTACGACTAAAATGGTTAAAACCACTAGCAGCAGCAACGGCAGAAGTGGTTTAAGTATATTTTCAATATCGTGACATTAAGGGAAGTCAGCCCCGCACGGATCCTTTCTTCAATGTGCTGAATATAGTTCATGTCAATTGATTAAAAAAAAGACTCGTTTAAAGGAAATCGGCTCTGTAGCAGCAGATGTAGCGAGGCTCATTAGGTGTGAATTGTGTTCTCCCGTTTGTCCTCGTTTCCAATTTCAACTGTACGTAAATGGGTCACAATATCTCGCCTGCAGTGATTCTAAACTGGCATGGTGTCAATTAAGAGTTTAGGTTCCGGAAGTTTACTAATATAGGCAGCGGCTGCCTGGGAAAATTAGATTCTGATATGGAGAGAGAGTATATGTAAGAGAAACAACGTATGACAGTGATGTCTGAGTGTAAATAAGAGTCAGATTTGGCTGTGTGTGAGGGAAAAAGAGTCTCATCTGTGAGTGCGTATTGAATGACCTGTTTGTAAGAGTTCAGGGATCTGTGTATGTTTAGATGTGGCAGCAAATTTATATAATTTCTGGGCGTTTGTGACTAAATATTTACTGTCCCTCCCCAGTTGCTCAGAGGGGATTGAAAGTGTGCCACTTGGTTGGAGCCTGGAGGCACATACAGCCCAGACCAGGTAAGAAGGACAGATTTTCTTTTTTCCTAAAGGACATCAGTGAGCCAGATTTAAATAAAAACAATTGACAATCTCCATTTGGTTAGCTTTTCATTCCTGACTTTTATTAAAACAAATTTCACGTTCTTCTATGGATGGATGCAAACACATATCCACAGAACATTAGAAGAGGGGCCCCGACCCGAAACGTCAACTTCCCGCTCCTCAGCTGCTACCTGGCCTGCTGTGTTCCTCCAGCTCCACACTGTGTTATCTCTGACTCCAGCATCGGCAGTTCTTACTATCTCCCCAGAACATTAACTGGCAGTCCTAGTCCACTGATATTACTACATCTGTGCCATCACCTTCCGATATGTAATTTATGCATGATTGACAGTATGATCTGTGCACACTGTACGTTTGTGAGATGTGATCTCTGTATGTGTAAGATTATAAAAGCTTAAGAAATAGGGGCAGAAAAGCCTTTCAGCCATTGAGTCTGTTTTGATATCCAATAAGGCTATGGCTGATCTGATAATCTTCAACTCCACTTTCCGGTTTTTTCCCATAACTCTTGACTCCCTCATTAACAATCTGTCTACCTCGACCTTGAATATAGTTAACAACCAAAACTCAACAGCCCTCTGCAGTAAAGAATTCCACAGATTCACTGCCTTTTGAGAAAAGAAATTCCTTCTCATCACTATCTTAAATGAGTGACCACTTACTCTGAAATCATGCCATCTGGAGATAGATTCTCCTGCAGGGCTAAAGAACCTCTCTGTGTCTATTCTGTTAATCTCCCTAATAATCTCATTTGCTTCAATAAGGTCACCTCTCAGTCATCTAAACTCTAATGAATACAGTCCTTATCTGCTCAAGCTCTTGCACACCTGGGATCAACTTAGTGAACCTTCCCTGGCTGCCTGCAAAGCCAGTGTATCTTCCCTTAGATAAGGGGACCATAGTTGTTCACATTAGTCTAGGTGTCGCCTAACTAATGCCTTATAGTTTTTGCAAGACTTCCCTATTTTTATTCTCCATTTCATTCCCTTGAAATAAAGGTCTTCACCATTACCCATTGAACTTGTTTGCTAGCTTTTTTAAAATTCATGAAGACCCAACTCCCTTTGTACTGTTGCTTTCTGCAGTCTTTCTCCTTTAAATAATATTCAGTTCCTCCATTCTTCCTGCCAAACTGCATCTCCTCACAGTTTCCCACATTACATTCCATCTGTGAAGGTTTTGTCATTCACTGAACCTGTCTATATCTCTTCGTTGCCTCATTATATTATCCTCATTACTTGGCTTCTCAACTATTTTTGTGTCTTCCATAAAACTGGTGAGAGTACATTGACTTCTTTCCAGTTATTGATATATAATGTGTATAATTGTAGTTCTAGGTTGTCATCCTGAAAATGCTCCCTTATCCCAACCAACTGTCTCATATTAGTTAGCCAATGCTCTATTCATACTAAAATACCAACACCTTAGGCTCTTTTTAAGTAGCCTTAAATCAGTACCTTGTTAGATGCCTTTTTGAAATCCAAATACATTACAACTATTGGTTCCCCTTTATCTGTCATGCTTGTTACCTTCTCAGAGAATTCAATTAAAATTTTCAGGTATGATTTCCCCTTCTTGAGGCATGTTAACCCTGCTTGATTATTATATATTTCTAAATGTTCTGCTATTCCATCCTTTATAGTAAATGCTAACATTTTCCCGATGACAGATGTTAAGCTAATGGTCTTCAGTTGTTTTTTTTCCCTCCTTCCATTTTGAATAAATATGTTACATTGACAGTTTTCCAAATATCTGGGACTTTTCCAGAAACTGAGGATCCTTAGAAGTTTACTACCAGTGTATCCATTATCTCTGGAGCTACTTGGTTTAATATTGAAGGACATAACACAATATGTCCAGGGGATCTATCAGTATTTAGTCCTATTAGTTTCCTTAGTATTTTTTCTCTAGTGATAGATGTTGTATTTATATAATTTTCCCCTTTTACCCTTGTTTATTTAGTATTCTTGGGATACTATTTACATATTTATTCAACTCCTGTCCCCCATTTTTACTTGATCCCCATTATTATTTCTCCAGCCTCATTTTCTAAGGGGAATATATTAATTTTGGTCTCTATATTCCTTTTTATCTATTCAAAGTAGCTCTTCCTGTCTGGTATTACTCACTGGTTTATTCTCAAAGTTTATTTTCTCCATCTTCAGTAGTTTTTTGGCCATCTTTTAGAGTCATAGAGCCATAGAGATGTATAACAGGGAAATAGACCATTTGGTCCAACTTGTCTATGCTGACCAGATATCCGAAATAAATCTCCTGCACTTCGGCCCTCACCCCCTCTCTTCCCTCCCACAACAGGAATAGAGTTCACCCTGTCCTTACCTACCATTCCATCAGCATTCACCTCCAGAGGATCATTAGCCACCCATTTCCGCCACTTCCAGAGAGATGCCACCACCAGAAACAGATTCCCCTTCCCTCCCTTGTCCACCTTCCACATGGACGGTTCCCTCCAGAACATCATAGTCCACTGTTCCGTGACTCCCAATACCCCGCCACAGCACCTTCTGCAATCACAGAAGGTATAACAGCTGCCCATTTACTTCCTCCCACTTCAGTATCCAAGGGTCAAAACACAGCTTCCAGCTGAAGCAGCACTTTACCTACATGTCACACAATGTAGTCTCCTGCATTCGCTGCACACAACGTGGGTTCCTCTATATGGGGGAAACAAAGCATAGACTGGGTGACCACTTTGCAGAACACCTACATTCTGCCTGCAAAAAAGACCCTGAACTTCCAGTCGCCTGCCGCTTTGAGACACCACCCTGGCCAACATCTCTGCCTCAGGCTTGCTGCAGTGCTCCAGGGAAGTTCAGCGCAAGCTAGAAGAACAGCACCTCATTTTCTACTTGGGGACCCTGCAGCTTTCCATACTCAATATCGAGTTCAACAACTTTAGGGCTTGAACTCTACCATGTCCTTTCCCCTACCCCCCTGTTATCACAGTCTGCTATTATACACGGCCCATTGTTAGCTACTAGCAGTCCCCATTAATAACTATTCACCCTCCTAGCCAGATTGTTATCCATTCCTTTGACCATCCAAATGTTCTTCTTTCTCTTTGGGCTCTAACCCCAACCACGCCCCCCACCCTATTTTCTGCATATAAACTGACACTTTCCTACTGACCATCAGTTCTGAGGAAGGGTCACCTGGACCTGAAATGTTAATTGATTGCTCTCCACAGATGCTGATGGACCTGCTGAGTTATTCCAGCAATTTCTGTTTTTGTTGCCATCTTTCCCTTTTCACAGACCTTCCCCTCTCTGCACCATTTCACAGTCATGTTACAAACCCAGAGGTACTGCCAACACAGCTCTTCTATCTGGATCAGCTATTCTTCAACTCAATTGGCAGAGCTTCCCTATCAGCAGCAGGCCTCAACCACATTCTGGGAGCACAGCAGAAGCAGAATAAGAGATAAGCAAGCACCTGAACTTTCTTTAAAACTAAGGAGAACATTTGGAAACCCCTGGCTTTACTTTCTGTGTACTGCTCCTTTAAGGACTACTGGCTAAAGGTGCTGTAGGAACTAAACGAAAAATTTAAATGGAGCAATTTGAAAGAAGTAATAGTCTTGGCAAGAAATCATTTTTGCCCCTGTTTTCCAGATAACAAACAAAAGGTTCAGGGCTTGAGGGATGAGTTTGAAAAATAATCATAAATTTGATTTTAGGGGAATCTGTTTCCAGCATTTAAGAATCATAGCATTATAGAAATGTACAGCACGGAAGCAGACCCTTCAATCCAACTCGTCCATGCCGAGATATCCTAAATTAATCTAATCCCAATTGCCAGCATTTGGCCCATATCCTTCTAAACCTTTCCTATTCATAGACCCATCCAGATGGCTTTTAGATGTTGTAATTGTACCAGCCTTCACCAGCTCCTCTGGCAGCTCATTCCATACATGCAACACCCTCTGCATGAAAAAGTTGCCCCTTAGGTCCCTTTTAAATCTTTCCCCTCTCACCTTAAACATATGCCCTCCAGTTTTGGACTCCCCCATCCTGGGGAAAAGACCTTGTCTATTTACCCTATCCATGCCCCTCATGATTTTAAAAAACTCTACAAGGTCACCCCTTAGCCTCTGATGCTCCAGGGAAAATAGCCCCAGCCTATTCAGTCTCTCCCTATAGCTCAAACCCTTCAAACCTGGCAACATTCTTTCTATAGCAGGGGGACCAGAATTGCACACAGTATTCCAAAAGTGGCCTAATCAATATACTGCACAGCCACAACATGATCTCTTAACTCCTATACTCAATGCACTGACAAATAAAGAACAAACAACAATATAGCACAGGAACAGGCCCTTCGACCCTCCAAGCCTGTGTCGCCATATTTTGCCCTTCCATACTAAAACTGTCTTCACTTACAGGATCTGTACCCCTCTATTCCCTTCCTATTTATATATTCATCCAGGTACTTGAATGCTGCTATTGTGTCTGCTTCCACCACCTCCTCTGGCAATGCGTTCCAGGCACTCACCACCCTTTGTGTGAAATACTTGCGTCACACATCTCTTTTAAACATCACTCCTCACACTTTGAACCTGTGTCCCCTTGT